GCATTCACGGTTCGACTTCTGATATTCAGATCGAGTTCTAGGTCAAACTGCTTTGTTCGACTTTTTTTTAAAAACAATCTTTCTCTGTCTTTACAGACTTCGAAGAGAAAATGTTGGCCTGCATGATCGTCTTTTACTCCTTTACTATTTCGGCTACCTCTCAAAGCATCCAGCCTTCCAAGCCATCAGCGAAAACTTCATGTGACAGTCTGTGCACTTGCACAGAAAAAGATGGTATCTTATATGTAAACTGTGAGCAAAGAAATATTACCAGAATTTCCCAAATCAAAGTGCCACTAGCCATTCCATTCCACCTAAATCTGCACAAAAATGACCTAGTGGAACTGCACGCCGAAGACTTAAGTGATTTCAGGAATGCAGTCTCCCTTCATTTTGGAGCTAACAGTATACAAGAGCTGGAGCCAGGAATATTCAATGGGTTTAGCTCACTTAAGAAGTTGCATATCAACAGAAATTTCTTGGTCATGTTAAAAGAGGACACTTTTCAAGGCTTGGTCAATTTGGAGTACCTTCAAGCAGATACAAATTTTATTCAAGTTATTGAACCTGGGACGTTTAGCAAGCTTGTTCGGCTAAAAGTTCTCATACTGAATGACAATTCAATTGAGTTTATGCCCAGTAACATTTTTCGATTTGTGCCCTTGACCCATGTAGATCTGCGTGGAAACCAGCTGCAGTCTCTGCCTTATGTGGGCTTTCTTGAGCACATTGGCCGCATTATGGAGTTGCTGCTGGATGACAATGACTGGGTATGCGATTGCGAGATAATGCCTCTAAAAATCTGGATGGAGGATATGCGCACATTGTCTGCCATCAGTGAGGTGGTTTGCGTTGCCCCCCCACATCTAAAGGGCAGCCTTTTGGGCAAGGTGAAGAAGGATGTGCTGTGTCCCTCTCATGCTGACCTGGAGGAACCTTCCAAGCCATCAGACATGGAGGTGACAGCCACCCCAAAAGTCCTGCAAAATCCAAAACCATGGGATCATGGGAAGATTCCAACACCAGCACTTGTACCGGAGAAGTTCTGTATTGAACATTGTTCTTGCCATAGTATTCCAATGGCAGGTTTCTTAGTCCACTGTCAGGATCGAGGTATCCAAAGGATTTCCGATCTTGGATTACCATTACAGAGCCCAACAAAGCTTGTACTGACAGGAAACATGATTCAAACGCTACTAAAATATGACTTTGTGGCATATGAAAGTTTAGAATTACTGAATTTGGCAAACAACCATATTTATTATATAGATAATGAAGCTTTTCTCAGTTTAGGCCATCTCAAAAAGTTGTATCTGAATGGCAACAGACTTGATCAGTTATCATCAAGCATGTTTGTTGGACTCCATAACCTTGAATATTTGTACTTGGAATATAATGTAATTAAAAACATTCTCCCTGGGACCTTTAATACTGTGCCAAATCTCAAACTTTTGTCATTAAACAACAATCTCCTGCAAACACTTCCATCACAGATATTTCAAAATGTGCCACTTTCCAAATTGAATTTGAGGAAAAACCTCTTCATGCACATTCCTGTTAATGATGTGTTGGATCAGCTTGATTCTCTGGAGCAGATTTATTTGGAAGAAAACCCATGGGACTGTACTTGTGACTTGATTGGCTTTAAACAATGGGTTGAGAAGCTTGGGAAAGATACAATAGTGGGTGCTATTTTATGTCACTCCCCAAGGAAGACAGCCAAGATGGAACTGAGGACTCTGAGACATGACGCCATATGCCCCAGCCTAGTGACATACAGCTTTGTGCCAACAGAGGAGGATAATGGAGATGTGACAACCACTTCTACAACAACAAACACCATGAGGGACTTCTTTCATTCTTTCAGAGACACCATCCCACTTTCAGTGTTAATTCTTAGCTTATTGATCCTTTTTCTCATTATTGTTTTTTGTGCTGCTGGAATTGTTGTCTTGGTCTTGCACCGTCGACGTAAGTTAATGAAGGAACAAGTCGAGGACCAGCCTAGAGACAATAGTCCTATACATCTGCAATACAGGATGTTTGGCCAGAAAACCACTCATCATGTAGCATCAAGGCCGAGAATGGACATGTATGATGAGACGACACACAGCCCCATAATTAAGGTGTGCAGGAATCCCACCTATTGTACTCGTCAGAAAGAGCAAGAACTGGTTGAGCATGATATGGTGGAGCCAAAGCATATTTGTAGGGTTCTACTGGAAAAGGAGAATGAGTCACCCCTGACAGGATCACATATGAAATTCAGAGCTGTGGCAGAGTACCCATCAGACTTTGTTACCCTCGGTGACACAAACTGCTTGTACCGGAACATTATTGAGTGTGAAAGGGAGCTCCAGCAACTTGGAATCACAAAGTGCCTCAGGAAGAACATCTCCCAGCTACAGCCTACATTGGATGTTCCTGGTCAGGGAAGACATGAGGAACTGAAATTAATGGAGACAATCATGTACACAAGACCAAGAAAAGTCATGGTTGAACAAACAAAGAATGAATATTTTGAACTGAAAACTAATTTACAGACAGAGCCTGACTACCTTGAGGTCCTGGAACATCAGACAACATTTAACTGAAAAAATATATTTCCAGGTTTTTGTTTTTTTTTTACTATATACATAAAGTGCCTTTGGAAACTGGTTTCTTTAAAATGTACTTTCCATATTCTTGTGAAATCCAAAGCAAAAATATTATATTTGAACTCGATGTCAGCAGGTGATCGTTGATAAAAAGGGGGTTGAACGCTAATAAAAAAAAGTCCACACACCTGCAGAAAGGTAGTTTCATGAGAGAAATGCTTTGTATTCTGGCAAACCCACAAGCTGTCTTTCTTGGTCATTGGTATTATCCCACTGAATTTCAGAAATAGTTGTGATACAAACAAATAAATATAAGCCAAGTCACATGGAGGATACAATTGAATACCAGATAACATGCCATTTTTAGATTTACAATGCAAATATGAGCAAGTAATCATATATTGTGAATTTGCATTTTAAACTAAGAATTAAAAATTAATTACAAAAATTGGTAAAATGAATCTTTACTGAATTTCTCAGTATCTGAATGTCTAGGGTCAGAAAAAGCACTTACTGTGAATATGAATATGTAATGTGTGTGTATGTGTATATATAGTGGTAATATTTACTGTAATATGTTTTAATGATAAGAATTGCACTACCCAGAATACCATTTTAAAAGATGGGCATGACAATCCTTAATACTGCTGAATAATATTTGGTAAGACATACTTAAGGTCATGTTTTAGTAATTTATAAATGCATTCATAAATAATAATGCATTCATAAAAGATTATAAACTTGGCTATACATATTTATCAAAAGGCATAACACATTATAGGAATGTGTATAATCTGTTATTAATACTTTATGAAATTCCCATCTATAATGCATTATAGATGCTTTTAGAAAACATTATAATGGTCGGTATAAGCATTATAGATGCTTTGTACTGCATCTGTTTATGGCATCTTTAATGTATTATAAATGAGAGCTTCATAAGGCAGTCATAATGCATAATAAACATAACTGTAATATGCCTTTTATAAATATTTATATCCATTTTTAAATGCTTTATGAATGTGTTATGTTGCATTATGAATGTGTTTATAAATGACTAAAAATGTGGCTTTTAAGTAAAATGTTGCGTAATATTTTTTTATAGTTTTCAAATATAACCAACTCATATACCCTACTGTATTTGCTAGAAGAAAACAACTATGCTAATATCATCTGTAATTTTATGTTGAAACATGCATATATGAATGATACTTAATAACGTTATTTTTGGACTAAACATCTGTGGCCAACTTTTAAATGTTTCCTTTTTTAGAGCACAGCTTTATTGTACGCCAGTGTAGATTTATTTTAAATATTTATTCATCTAAGGTTTGTATATATCCTCACATATATTTGTTTTGTGTGCCTTTAATGTTGTAAAGATAGAACTTATGTGAACTGTATATAAAGGTTTATAATACAAAGGAAAAGGCATCCTTCACCACTGTTTATACCACAATAAGGCAATGTACACCATTTTCCCTTTCTTTTGACAAAGTAGTTGATTGGCTGGCAGTTGAAAGAATAAATTTCACTGATGCCTATATTTCTTTCTTTTTTTGTAAACTGGCACTCAAATGCACAAGGAGTGAATTCAAGCAATTCAGGCTACCTGTAAAGTGGATTGCATAGTGTAGTTTCATTATAAATCACTGGACATCAATGGTATCTTTTTATTTGACTGTTTAACTTTTCTATTGGGTAATGATGTTATAAAATTGTTGTCATTTTCATATCACTTATTCAAAAACAACCAGAAAAGGCTTGTTCAGTTTTAAAATGTCTTATACTCCAATTGGTAGTTAATTTTAATCTTAATTGGGAATTTTAACATCAAATTTAGCTAGATCACTGAAAACTGAGACAAGATCATTTAAGTCAACCCAGATACTTTTCTTTATATTTTATGATCACTTGTAAGAATAATTGTTGTTGCTTTCAGGTGTCCGAGTACTCTTTTGTCTATAAGTAATTACAGATATATTTTTCACTTTGAACAGTCAAGTTTTGTTTATGCTAGAAAAAACCCTAGGGGTCAGGTTTCGATCACACAATTTCAATAAGACAAATAATATTTGGGAGGAAGAGTATTCACCCTGCCTGTAAACATACTGTAGCCAGAACAGGTCACTTTTTGCACCTTTGATTCCTGGTATGATGTTAGGCGCCACCTTGCAAACAATATCTGTCTACACAGCATATATTTCATGCTGTTACCCTCATTTAATGAATGAATTCTTGAGATTAGGTGTCACGCTTCGCGGGGAGGGCGAGCAGGAAGCAGGCGAGCGAAGCCAGGCAGTCAGGGTAACGGGGTTTATTCGGAGGGACGGACAGGCACGGACCTCCAACGAGACACTACACATGACAATACAATGACCAGTCTGGGGTACATCGACTAAGACACGGACTAAATACACAAGACTAGGCAAACGAAACAGGAAACAGGTGAGAACCATCAGGGCTGAACACGAGGTAATGAGGGGGGCGTGGCACACATCGGGATCGTACGGAGCGGGATATGACATTAGGAAAACAGGTTTTGATTTTCTAAAGAAATATTTTGATTATTTTCAAAATCTATAAATACAGCTTTGTTAAATGAGGTTTTAGTTATCTAAACATGTTTTGGTACAACCTCCCAGTTGTATATTTTTAAAATTAATTGCATATTTTTTGGAACAACAAGAAATCGGCAAGTATTCTGACTTGCCAATTTCTTGGTCCCCTTAATTTGCACATAATTTAAACCTATTTTATCATCTTTCTAAAGTTAAAGTCAATGTTGAATGAATGCTGCTTTGGTTGTACAAATTAACCAATCTTGTTTTTAAATTTCCCCATGAACAGTGATATTTAGAAGTATAAAAATTACACATACATTTTTTAAATGCATTGGTTTAATAGACAAATATCACTGAGGAAACAAAATGTGCATTCTTTTTTAGAAAAAAAAAAACCATTAAGTTCATCTGACAGGGGTCATGAAATTGTAACAAACCAAAAAATATTTCATTCAAAATTACTATTGAATGGTCACAAATACGTTAAAATCATAAAACATTAATGAAAAACATTACATTAGCACACTTTTCTTGAATTCAGGAAATTCAGGAAAGATGAGAGGCATTAGTAAATGGACAACACACTTCTGACATACATTACCTTTTCAAATACAGGCTGCTTAAACAGAAACTAATTCAAATAATTCGGAATCTTTCAAAATTTCAGCAAAACTGTAATTCAAAAAACTTTACACATAATCAAATTGGACTTCTCAAGGCAGTTGATGAAGTTTAAACACCAGGTAATAGAGGAATCCATCTAGAAGTGCCCTCTTATATGAAATCCATGACCTTGGCGGATATGTGGTATATGTCCCTGGTGCTGCTTGTACATACTGGTGATGATGGTTCATTCAGCTTCGTTAGAATATCTCTAAATGGCACAAAGCAGATATCTGATCATCCTTGTTAGTGTCCTTGGGACACTTGACCCATGGGGATGAAAAAATTCAGCTTGAATATCTTGATGCTCTGGATCAACTCCCAAGGCTTTGTCCAGCCACCAATTCTGGTCATACATGACACCAAGCCAATCTCCACTCTGAACATCACCAGGGCCTATTGTAGTTGTTGTGCCCTCAGGTCTTCTGCTGGGCTCTTTCTCCATGGCCTCCATCAACATCGCCATGCAGCTGTCATATTGGATTTTAGTGAAAATGTAAGTATTTTCCACAGCCCACAAATTTGGTCCAGTCTTCAACTTTGTAATTTGGCACACTGATAGAGGCCAGTCCAATGCATTTGGTCACCAAATTTGGGGTCAATCAAAGCCACCAAACAGGAAGTGAGACCATGTGCTCTATATTCTACCTGTGCAAAGTGGAAGCAAAGTGGTTTTGCTAGTTAATTCGTACCAGCACATTGCTCATTTTCATGTCATGCCCGCATAAAGAACAAACCGAATCATCAAAAAACCTTTCAGAAGAGTTCATTATCAGAATTAAGCCCATACTGTAATTGAAAAAGACATTTAGATTGCTGAAAATGTGTGGAACATAACAATACAGCCCACAGATGGTTACAGCATTCTTTGTGACATGTTGTATGTTGCGTAACATTGCCACGAGTGACGGATGTGTGTTGGACATAAATAAGGACACATCAGAGGACGTTAGAAGGCGTGATGCTGAATTGCATGTGTTAATGCCAAGACATGATTGATCAAGGAGAGATCAGCTGGCAGAAAAGCTGAATCGTATGTAGCCTGTTAAGGAATCTAAATTGTGAGAGTAGAAAAATAACACTCATATTGCCTTTTTATTTGAATATTTTAAAACACCTTAAAACTGTAGGTTGTGTTTTATTTGAACAAATATTGCATTTTTATTTTGTTTTATTTTGCATTTTATTTCATTTTATTTTGTGAAATAAAATAAAACATACAAGCATAATTAACCAACCACTGCTTTCTTTCAGTAGCAAGCTTCCCCGTCTTCTGACATTATTATACTGCTATCGGCACAGCACGGTGATCTAATAATGCCAGAAAATGAGCATTGACCAGAAAATAATGCCTTGAAAAGCTTCGATGGAACAGCGATGCTCCCGTAGATGCTTGCACATTTTCACTTCACGTACGAGCACGTCTCTTCCCTCACGTGAATAGTGATCTGACTTGCCAGGCAAATGCACCATTGTAATGGCAATCTGCAGCAAATCATGCACCGCTGCCTTTTCAAAGTGAAAAAACATGCCATTCTGATTGGTTTATTACTTGTAACATCCAAAACACGCCTCTGAATAATTAAGAGAGTTGGACAACCTTTGATTTGTCAAAATCCAATTTGGCAAATGGACTTGGGACACCATTCTGTAGAGGCACAACAAAAATTGCAAAAGGCAAAACTGTGTTTCAATTAATAACTGTTGATTAGTTTGAGTAAGGAAAATTCTTCTTTTGTCTGCTGATGCCATGGTATGTGTTCTGCCCAGAAAGATCCGCGGAGACAAATTCAGGCAACCAGGTTTATTAGGGATTAAGAGAAGGGTGGTCGTGAGCCGTATCCAAGTCGTTGCCAGGAACCAAAAGCCAGAGTCCAGAACGTGATCCGATGTCATTGTCGAGAAAGGGGATGCCGAGGGTCGAGAAGCCAGTAGGTCAAGCCGGAGACACGGGGGACGAACACGGGGAAATCCACGAGGGGTGTCACGGGGAGGGCAGACGGGCAGGAGGGCAAGCAGGAGTCGGAACGTAACTGGGGAGACAACGAATAGTCAGAGCGCTCAGTATGTACATTACTACAATACCTCACACCAGACTAATGTCAGTGCGAGGCTTAAATATGGTGGTTTTCCTTAGTTTCCAGCACTCATGGCCGATCACATGAGGTGGGTGTGACAGATGTACCCAGGCTGATCTTTGGGAATTTGCATGTCCAGCTAATTGATGCAGCTGCCATATTGGATTTTATTGAAAAATTAAGAATTTTGGCCACAAATTTTGTCCAATCTTCCTCAAATGTGTGAAAGATAATCTTCGTACCGAGCCTCACAAGATGTACCCCAGGGGTTTTTGATTTTCAAAGCTGTTTTCCCATCATTGTCAATTGAATTTGGCAGCAAAGTTGCCAAACAGGATGTATGGCCATATTTCATAAAAGTTTTGGTGTTTTGAGACCACACTTGATAAGTGGACTCAGGGCCACACCTTAAGGATGTCCACCAAATTTCATGTCATTTGACCATTGAGGGGGTGCTGCAACAAGCATTTATATATATTTCCTAATGCATTTTGATGTATTGGTCTTACAAAAGCGGCTATGACCGGGGATTGTCAGGAGCCCGTCTGTCACGCCCCGCTCCGTCCGCTCCCGATGTGTGCCACGCCCACCTCATTACCTCCTGTTTCACCCTAATTGTTCTCACCTGTGGCTC